AAACATGCAAGCACTGTCACCGTTAGTTTTACTTTTCTTTTTGTTTTTATTTTTGAAAATCTTATCTTTGCTGTTTACCACACATTACGCTATTGAGGCTCTCTTTTATTTATTTATTTCTATTTTTGATTCCTCAGTGTTTGCTAAACGTTCTGTAATTTATTAGTCGGTATATAATACAGCATGTGGTGTGTGCCATGCCTCATCTTATTCGTTTTTGTTAATAAACGTTTAGTAAGCTAGTTTGTCATTGTATCTTACTGATTTATTGTTGTTGTGCTTTTTAATTAAGAATAACAATGAATCCATCTTTTGTTTTAGTCTTAAAAAAATGAAAGGTGTGTAGATGTTAGCAAAACAGTGACAACAAGATCGCGAATTCGAAAGTGAAAGCATCCGAAGCCCGCGGCTTAACACAGCAAAAGAGAAACTCCCATTCACAAAATTCAAATCACAAATAATACTACTGATGATAAAGAACGGGTTGAATGTTAACCACTTTCGTTTCCATATAACTATAAACTATGATAAAAGTTCATCAGCATGCACTGAATAATCCCATGTTGTAGCGCAAAAAAAAATAAATAAATAAATATTGCGACCAAATCATGTGCTTGTGCGACCAGCTGAGAAAGTTAGTTGCAAAAGTGCGACCAGTGGGAAGAAGGAGTCTGGAGCCCTGGGACATCTGCTGTGCTGTAGTACTTGTCACAAGGAATGATCAAAGACAGGTTTGTACCTCAGAGTCAAAGTCTGCCAGGATCCATGGAAAGACAGGATACTGCATCAGGTCATTATATGACCTGCCAGCCAGTGTGTTGAGATGCATCAGATATTGGAAATTACTGATTTCTCCTCTCTACAAATAAAGAGTCTTTCCTAAGCAACACTGAACAACAGAACAAAACAAACAGACAAAAACTTTAAATGTGAAGATACCGCACCTCCCATCTTTGGGTCACTGACTTCTCGCCGACCAGCGTACTGAGAAGACCTGACCTGTTTACCAAGAAACACGAATATGAACGTTTATTTTAAAACATTTGGTAAAGAAGCTCTAAATTCACTTCACAATCTTGTAATATGAGGGTAGCATACCCTTGTTCCACACTGGTGTTGGGACGTTGCCCAGAGACAGATTCGGAGCTGTCGGCTAGTGAGGGAACAACTGCCAGGAACCTAGAAAACAAGATTTGGCTTTATGTAAACTAGTATTTTTCTGAGGTTCTTCTACACTTAAATCACTGTAAAAAAGATAATGGAGGCAGAACAGTCAGACTATTGAAAGTTTTGCTGAAATACACTTACATTCAAAAAGTTTGGGCTCAGTATGATTGATTGATTTTTTTGGGAGGAATACGTTTCAGCAAGAATACATTAAAGGGATAGTTCACCCAAAAGTGAAAATTCTGTCATCATTTACTCTCCCTCATGTCATTCTAAACCTGTATGAGTTTCTATCTTCTGTTGAACACAAAATAAGATAATATGACGAATCTGTTGTGCTCAACAGAAGAAAGAAACTCATGCAATACAATACAAATTTTATTGCTATAGTACATTTAAAACAACTGCTGTTGACCAAAGTGCTTTCCAGCATCATTACATACCATCACACAAACAAAAATTTAAATAAAAAATTAAATCCTGATCACTCTAATCAATTTTAAAAGCTATACTAAAAAGATACGATTTCAATCTAGACTTAAAAGCATCCACAGATGGGGAAGATTTAATGTGCGTTGGAGAGAGATGCAGGTTTAGAAAGACATGAGGGAGAGTAAATGACAAAATGTTTGTTTTTGGGTGAACCATCCCTTTAAGTTGATCAAAAGTGACAGTAAAGACATTTATAATGTTACAAAAGATGTTTAGTTATTAAATGTTGCTCTTTAGAACTTTCTATACATCAAAGAGTGTTCACTGAAAAAGTGTTCACTGTTTCCATAAAAATATTCAGCAGTCAACTGTTTTCATCAGTGATAATGTTTCTTGAGCTTGATTAGAATCTCAGCATATTAGAATGATTTCTGAAGAATCATGTGACACTGAAGACTGAAGTAAAGGCTGATGCAAATTCAGCTTTGCCATCACAGGAATATATTACATTAAAAGTTTATTAAAACTGGAAAAAAAGTTGTTTTAAATTGTAAAAATATTTCACAGTGTTAAAGTTTTTACAGTATTTTAATAAAATGTAGCCTCAATAAGCATAAGAGACTTCCTTCAAAAAGAGTAAAAAAATAAATAAAAATCGTAGCGACCCCAAACTTTTGAATGGTAGCGCATCTCTTTCTTTTTCTACATCATGTCTCCAAGGGACAAAAACACAATCAAACACATATACTGGGTAAAATCACTCCATGAGCTGCATCTTAATGCAGTCTATTACAGTCGTGTATGAATATGTGGTACACCTGCTCTAATATTGTCAAATTTCACAATGATTTGCTGCCAAAATGGGGAGCTGCAGTGTATGACAGAATCTGAGAGAAATGTCAGAGGAAGTAATTTAGTTTGTCGACCCTTTCCATTCTTAATTTCTGAGTGTGACAACATCTGACAGAAGAGGGCAAGATTTCATCTAAATTTGTCAGAAAGTGTGGGATTAACAAACAAAATAGAGCTGTTTTGAGCTGACTAGTGGGATGCCGCCTTAAGAGGCATTAGGGTTGTGCCAATAGATGATAGTATCGTGTATCGATGATAGTTAGTGATATCGCCTGTGGCTGATGCCTTCGACGATATCAAGACGATAATAATACTAATTATTATTATTATTATCAGGATAGTATTATTATCTAATTAATATTAGGGCTTATTTGTCACATCATATTTCTTTTTACGCGTTTTTACAGTGTTGCGCGTTATAACCAATCACACACGATTCTGTTGAGCTTATAAATGCAAAGGCCAATCAGAAGCGTTCAGATGAGTCATCGCTGAAACACCGGAGTTTTGTTGTTCAGTGCTCGCGCTCGCTGACTGAATTCTGCTCTCTCGCAGATTCCCACATCAAAAACAAAAAAATGCTGATGTACGTGCGATGTAAGTATAAGAGATATAGTATAGCTTGACTGATTATAATGGGAGTGTTTTTAAGTGCATTAACTCGCTCTAGACGGAAGTCAGTGATGATGGTCTTTGATGATGTAAATGTTCTTTGCTCATTTTCTGTAGCTGCTGTTTGAATAACTGAGGAAATGTAAGCATTATAATTAGTAACTTACAATGTTTTTATTAAATTGTTACGTTACATACAAATTCAGTAATGTTAAAAAATATTTTATGACATGACATCTATATGCAACTTGACTGGAAAAATATTATATGTAGTTGATGAATTACACAAACATTAGGTTGATTTTAGGCTTATCCTGGAGTTGGTTATGAAACTATGAAACTAAGCAAGTAAATGATTAAATAAACTAGCATGACCATATCGTGTATCGGTGATCTCACAGGCTGATGATAGGACGATATGACTATGAAGCATATTGCCCAACACCAAGAGGCATCAGTGTTTACAATACCTTTGATACACTTTGTTCCGGACTCCTTTTTGGAAAGCCAACAGATAATTTCTTCCATCTCCGGAAAACACTTCTACTGCCATGGGCTGTGAGGAAGAAAGCAAAGCATAGCTTCATTATCAGCATTAACATGAAAGCTGCCCAGTGTGTTATCAAGCCAAACGGGTTGTTTGCACACCTGAAGCAGATAGCGACGTTTGTGCACCTCTCTGATGTCTTCGTAAGCAAAGATGCTGCAGGTTCGTTTCAGCTGACTCTTGCTCTGCCGGGCCCCTCGGGGGATGATAGGCTCATGCATACTGCAAATGTCACAAAAACAAGCAGTATATATAAATGCAGTGCAACAACTAAAGCAGTGGTTCTCAACCCGGGGGGTCTCAGCAAAGTTCCACAGAATGACTTAATATATTTATGATAATTAATATATTAAAATAATCTAAAATAACCACAGAATAGAATCACACAATGAACTGTAGGTTAATGTAAAATATCAATGCTTCCAGTTTCTTTTAATAAAAAAAAGTTATAACACAAGCAGCTTTGTTATAATTATAACAGAAATAGAAAAACAGAAAGAACAATGGAATGACAGATAATTAAAACAACAGAAAGATCGATAAAATGAACGATAGAACAATAGAACGATAGACAGATCAAACAAAGAAAAGGTAGAAAGACAGACCACTATAATGATAGGTAGAACGTATGACTGATAAATAGATGGAGAACAATAGAATAACAGAACAAACAACAGAGACCGACAAGACAGACAGATACCAGATGATCTGATACAAGTGAGCATTTTTCATTTTTTGAAGAGCAGAATACAAAACAATACATTCTTACTTTGCAGGGAGTGTCTCAATGTCTCTAATCTCTCTGGTGACCGTCATGGTGAAGCCGTCGATCACATAGAAATGTTCTTTCCCAAATAAGAGCAGCCCTTCACTGGTGTCCAGACCCTGAACTCGAGCACAGCGGTACATGTGCTGGATCTATAACACACACAGCAAACACATTCTCAGTACATCATTCATATCAATCAGTGCAAATTCAAAACGTAAAACAAACCTAATCGTCCAACCAGACTGATATTACTAATTATTTCCCTCATACTGATGGAGAATAATGTAAGCAGTAAATGAATGACTGTTGTTAGATGATGATCTAATGATCAATACAAAGCTTCAAATTGGAAAGCTTCTACCCAAAAGACCCAAATTTTCAAAGCCAAATTGTTGTCATGACAACAGTGACTGGCAGCAAAATTTGCAGTTGTTGAACAGTGTGACGAGGATGTTGTGGAGGCATATGTATAGCTGTACAGTGCTACAGACCTTCTCCCCCTCCTCCAGCAGGCGGAGCAGTGTGGTGTTGTCAGTTTTCTGCTCCTCGTCCATAGCTCCTGACTCTAGCAACTCCTGCAGCTGGTCTTGACTGTCCTCATCGGCTCCATCCGCTGTAGAGCGGGACCGCTTTAAAGGAGCTTTAACCAAACCTAAAACAAAACACAGCACACTCAGTCAGTCTATACAATACACTCATTATATTACATGCTCAGTAGTTTCGATAGATAGACAATGAGTTCCTTCACATCCCAGTTTCTTCCATTTAGTTTGAAGAGGTGATAGAATTTCTAGTTACAAGTAATTAATAATTGTATTAATAATGGTACTTGTTTTCTGTCTGCTACATTGGTGAGCAAAATGTAGTACATGTAACTATAAAGCTCACTGTACAAAGTATACCTCTGTAGTAGTTTCACAGTATCATGTAATAAAAAGCACTGTCATGTTAAAATGACCTTTGACCCTTGCGATGGTGTCCTCTCCATGTTCAGGCTCCTGCTGTGTGGTCTCTCCCTCCGTGTTCTGCTCTATGGAGTGCTGGTACATCCCCGGGTTCCCTGACAGCAGCCGCATGTAATACTCCTTACTGTCATAGCTTATCGCTCGTCTGTACCGCACTGGTTTCTGGAAGGATTGAAATGTATCGCAAACTCTTTAATTTAGTTCTTATTAACTCTTCTTTTGGGTTTATATCAATCATGATGAAAAACTTTATAATAAAAAATTCAATCTCGGAAGTCAGTGACAGCCAGAAGAATCCAGTCAGAGGCATGCAAGACACATGTCCATCACTCTTTAAGAAAATCCCATGCTGACAACTCGCATATAGTACATAATTCATATCGAAACACAATTTATATTTACCCACAATGCAAATTTCAAGCATTTAAACACCTTTAAATCAGCAAGTTTTCAAGATCACACATGAATTCAGTCAGGGCTGTCGCAGTGAAGGAATTTCCCTTGCGGTAATTTTGAGTGGCTAAATAGCGCGGTATGCGGTATTATCGCCATATATGTATATATATA